AATAGCGCGAGTAGAGCCCCTTGCCCCTTAGCTCCTGAGGAACCTCCTCCACTGCTCCTATGGCAAGGAGCGATTGCACCTTCTAGATAAGGAGCTGCTTCTGAGAAGGGTCCCTGAAGGACGGGGAAGCGGGGTGGGAGGGAGAGGAGGAGAAGAATTGGAGAGAATATTCTATTTCTACTGTGCGGAGAATCCAGTGGTCCAATGTTATTTGGGACCATGCACAGTAGAAGTGGGTAGACGATTCCGAAAGCAGGGTTGAGGATCCGATATATGGTCTGACACGTCGTCCCCAGGCACACTTTCAAAAGGCCTGCTTGGAGGCCGAGAAGGTGCACGCTTGGCCCTGTGATGATGAGGGCTGGGACAGCTTATGCCTGCCGTTCCTACCTTGCCTTCTAGAAAAGTCTTGCCTAGGGCGAGGTTGGTAAGGATGTTGAGGGGGTTGAGGTTTAAAGTGTTTTCGCTGAATAGCGGGGGTATGCATCCCCAACGACTTCATCATCGCCCTCGAATCCTTTAGGTCTGGAGTCTGTTTGCTTCGTGAATAATCCTGTCCCATCAAAAGGCAGGTCCTGCAGAGTCTGTTGGACCTCAGGGGGTAGGCCTGAAACTTGAAGCCATGAGGTCCGCCTCATGTTTATGCCAGAGGACAAGGTACGCGCCGCCGAGTCAGTAGCGTCCTGTGAGGCCTGTAAAGAGATCTGTGCCACTGTCTTGCCCTCCTCCACAATGGCCCCAAACTCACCTCTGGACTCCAATGGTATTAGCTCCTTAAATTTGAGCATGGAGTTCCATGAGTTAAAATTATATCTGCTCAGGACCGACAGCTGATTAGCAATCCTGAGCTGTAGGCCGCCCGTGGAGTAGACCTTTCTACCAAAAAGGTCAAGTATTTTTATAGTCCTTGGACTTAGGCGTGGGTCCCTGCTGCCCCTGCCTTTCACGTTCATTAACCACAGACATCACCCAGGAGCAGGGCTGTGGGTGGGAGTACAGATACTCGTAACCCTGTAAGGGAATGAAGTATTTGCATTCTACTTCCTTGGCCATTGGGGGGATGGAGGCCGGCATCTGCCACACAGTTTTGGTATTGTTTTGAATGGTCCTAATGAGTGGAAGCGCTACTCGGGATGGACCTTCTGGGGCCAAATGTCCACCATTGGGTCCTCCTGTTCCATCATTGGGTCCTCCTGTTCCACCACCTCCTCGGCTTGCAAGCCCATGTTGCGCACCACCCTGCGGAGTAAGTCCTGATGGGCGCGACTATCTATGGGTGGTGGTCCTGAGACTGAAATTCCTGCGACCTTCTCATCCGGGGAAGAGGATGAGGATGCAGGCGGGAGAACCGGGTCATCCCAGGCCTGTTGGTCCATGGAGACCTGCTGATCGACCTGCTGTTCTGGGTCGATGATCCCGTTCCACCATAGGGGCAGGGGTCTGTGTCGGTGAAGCTGCTGTAACCGGAATCCCTTCAGCACCTCTGGGTGCGGGGTAGCTGGCCAAGGCCGTTGGCAGCCTGGGCTCAGATGCCATCAACTGGGAGCCCTTGGACAAGGTACCCTGGGACTGGTGATATGCCCAGGGGGTCCAAAAAGGCCATTGTGCCGGTCCTTGCAATTGGGGTGGCCATGGCATTGTACCCACATCAGGCCGCCGATGTGTCAAGCGGTGCCGGCTCCAGTGTGAGTAGCTAGACCCCGTGTCAGATTCTGAGGACGGGGACCAGGATCTAGAGGGCCATGGCTGTGCCAATCGGAGCTGGCCAGGTGAATGGTGCCATGTGGAAGGGGAGCGGTGCCGAGACCTCGATCTGTATCGAGGGGATCGGTGACGCAGTGATGATCGGTGCTGGAAGTGGGACCTCTGACGATCCAGGGACCAGCGCTGGGACTCTGAGTTGCGCCCCCTTTCCAGTGCTGGGGATCGTTGACCTGGCAATGTGGGCAGGCGCACCATTGTTGGCTTGCCATGAGATGGCAGTGCCGGGGGCTTGTTGCGGAGAGTCGGAAACCGCGGTGCTGTCTTGGCAATGAAGTCTCGCGCGGCCTCAAAGATATCCAGAGTGGATGGCAGGCCCACCTCCTCCACCATGTGGATTGGGGAGTCCAATGGTCCCAGGCTCAACGGTACTCCTTGCATGTCTGAAGTTCCCGGAGCCGACTCCAAGGATCTTGGGGCCGGGTGTTCCTTTCTGGGACACGCCCCATTGGCCGAGACCACAGGGGAGGGTCTCACAGGAGATCCATCTCTACCCTGCTTGGTGTGCTTCTTCTGCGGTGCTGGAGAATGGGACCGGTGCCGGGCGGTTCCCACAGTCTTAGGAATAGGGGATTGGCACGGTGCCACAAGTCTCTGTGCTCGGAGATCTTCTGCGGTGCCGTTTCTGGTACCGATGCCGGAACCCTCCGCACTGAGGAGCTTGGTGTCGGTGTCACGGAGTGTGGGGGGACACAAGACCCTGCACCCCCAGCTTCCTGCTATTCACCATGACTCTCAGCTAGCCAGTAAAGCAGAAGGTTTATTTAGATGACAGGAACACAGTCCAAGACAGGTCTTGCAGGCACAGACAACAGGATCCCCCCCAGTTAGGTCCATCTTGGGGTCCCAGGGCACCACAGCCCCCTTGGGAGGTCAGAGCCCCGTCTGCCTCCCAGCCATTCCACCAGCCAGCTCTGAACCTCTCTCCCCAGTGTCCCCTCCCACAGCCTTTGTCCAGTTTCCCGGGCAAAGGTGTCACCTGGCCTCTAACCCCTTCCTGGGTTCTCACGTTACATGCTCAGGTATTCTCCCTCACGGCCAGTCTCCCAATCCCCCATGCAGACCATCCTAGCCACACTCCCCTGTCTTCCCAGCCAGCACTCCCCAGTCAGCATTCAAAGACCACATTAAGAACAGTCCCAGTTCGTCACAGTCGGGTCCTGCCGTGCCGAGGCAGGCTGCGGTTTAAGAGCCGCCTACATGAGGAGCTGTTTCAACCTGAAATCCCACTCCTTTTTGGTCCTGGGTCGAAAACCCATGCAAATCCTGCACCTATCAGCTTGGTAAGCCTCCACCAGACACTTTAAACAAGCGTCGTGGGGGTTGCCCGTTGGCATGGGCTTATTGCAGGACTTACAGGGCTTGAACCCCGGGGATCAAGGCATGCCCCGAGGTCCCCAAGGGGAAAGGTCGGGGCGGAGGGGAAACTCCCCATTCCTAACAGAACTACTAGTAACTAATAAAACTAGAGCAACTATAAACTACTAAGGTAAACTACACTAGAAAGCTAGGGGAAGCGAGTAGAACTTGTAATCAAGCCACTCGCAGTTCCGACAACCATCACAAGTGGTAAGAAGGAACTGAGGAGGGGCCGGGTCGGCAGGTTCATATGTTGAGTGCCATGAAGGTGCCACTCCAGGGGGCTCCAAAGCTGACCCAACCGGAGCTGCTGGAGGAAAAATTACTGGCAACTGTGCACGTGTGCACACCTGATTGGAATGGACGTGAACAAGCACTCAAAGAAAAAACGGCGAAATCATCTATAAACGAAGATCAGAGGGAAATGTGTTTATACATGTATACTAAAGAATAGAACTGTAAATGTAATGTTGAAATCTTATATTTAGATATATTTAACAGCAACAAAGGGGTGGACGATCGCTGGGGCTTTTTGGCTCCTGGAGAAGTGTAGGTAACGTAACTATGTGATGTGATAGACCCAGGCCAGTTGAGTACAGCAGAGTAGTAGAAGGCAGATATACTGGCCACTGAAGAAGCAGTTTTCTGTTCCCTGCCTGACCAGAGCAGGGGCTGCTCCAGGCTAGGGAGGACACATGACTCCAGTTAGCCTGCAAAGAGTCAAGTGAGGCCGTTAAGCTAATGTGAACACCTGACTCTAATTACGGCCCCTCTGATACTGTAAAAAAAGCTCACTCCGATCAGGCTGGGGGAAGGAAAAGGGAGCCAGAGGAAAGGAAGTACGGCTGAAGGGTTGGGTAATAAAGACACCCTCAAGCTACTGGAAGGGAGCCCTAAGGTAAAGGTGAAGAAGGTGTTAAGAGAGAGAAGCGGGAGAACTGTGGGGAAGTGGCCCAGGGAAGTGTAGCAGCTCTGGCGGTGAAAGGTCAGCTGCCAACAGCTGCTACCACTAGGGTCCCTGGGCCAGAACCTGGAGTAGAGGGCGGGCCTGGGATCCCCCCAAGCCGTGACTACAGAAACACCTCCTGGGAAGGGAAGACAGGCCCCTCTTCTTGAATAAGCCCGTAGGGACAACAGAGACTGTGGGAGTTCTCTCACCAACCTCCTTGCTGGCTTATGATGAAAAGGGCTCAGTAGACTGTAATCCTGGCCCTAGAGAGAGAAGGGCTACGTGGAGGGTCGCAGTGAGCCTCTGAGGCTAGCATAAACCGCCTGGAAGCGCGGGACCCACGGAGACAAGGTCGGAGCTCTGCCACAGTGATAAGTACACTAGCTGGATACCTCTACAAAATATGACTGGCAATAAAAAAGTTAATGTTGATATTTAAATTGTCATCATTATATTTCAGTGTTAAAAGTCCATGGGGATGAGTCAGACAGCTCATGCCTTTGATTTGAGAATTCTTGTTTCAGGCTCTCTGTAGACTCGGGAAGACAACACTGCATTGATTTCTGATCTGTTAACCTTGAAACTGATTTTCACAGTCATGAAGGCTACAAATATTTTTTTTCAATGAAAGCTTAGATTTAGTAATACAGTTTTGCAGGAAAGAGTGTTCCTCATGACTCAGTTGAAGAAAAGCTACTTATGGTTTAGGCAATTATTGGCCATTATGCATCAGTGCTGTGTACGTACACACTTGCTGGTGACGTGGTTTAACAGCTAAGAATGTTCTGCTCTCCCTCCATCACATCAAGGGCCACATGACCTTAAGAGTAAGAATTTATTATAATACTTTCCTTTGAAGAAGATTAATTGTAGCTGACATTTGCCCTTTGCAGCAGTGACTAATAATTATATTATTGTTACACACTCTTACCTATTTTTCATAAGTCTCAGTTCCCTTTTGCGTGTTGCCTCTTCTGCTAGCTGCTGAGGGCTGTGCAAAGTTCCTGGTGAGGCTGCCATTACCACTCCTTGAGGCAAGGCTGTGGTGGGAGTTCGGATCTGGTAAGTTGGCATGTCTCCAGTGGCAGCTGTATTAAAGAAGAACAATTTTTACTTTATATAAACTTACCTGTCAAAATCTAACTGAAATAGCAGACGTCTGTTGATATGTTAATCAGGATCTCTATTACATCAAACATTTCATAGGCTTGTGTTGTGATGACACAAAAGCTAACAAATACAACTAAGACTTCTGTCTATTTTGTAACACGTTAGTTACACAACACATTTTAAAAGTAGTTTTATGTTTTTAACTTGGAATCAGTCCCTTTCTGATATTCTCCCTTTGTTTTATTAGTTTCTCTAATTTTTCATTCATTTCTAAACTGTTCTCTTGCTACTTTTATGACAAAGGCAACCTTTAAAATGTCGTTAAAGCTGGGTAAGTCTTAATGTATGTGGCATGTCTGACATTTAAAATTAATATACATTTAAACGTTGAGTGTCTCATACTTAAAAATAAGAGCAAGTTCTTGCTTGTAAATTTTGATATGTTTTCTATATCATTGCAGACCAAAGAGCATAACTTTCCCTAATCCAGCAGATGAATACAGAAGATCAAATTTCAGGTGCTATCACATAATCTCATTAAATTTTGTACTGCATTTCTTTAAAAAGAGTAATTCCAGTACACAAATAATGGAACAGTCAGTGAAATTCAGAAATGGGTAAAAACAAAAAGGTAAAACTCCCCCAACACTCCACTTTTTTTGAGGGGGGAGGGGGAGAGAGAGAGACAGGTTGGGAAGATAAGATAAGTCAGTTATATGGAGGAAAATATAGAAAAAACTAAATGAATAAATAATTACCCTTCTTATAGCCTTCTTCCACATCTTTTCACACCAGTGGATCTTCTAAAGCAGTACTCAGAAATTGTGAAATGGGAGAAAAATAGATTTAAAATAATAGACTCCTAGGAGGACCACACCAAAAATTCACTGGACATAGGTCACATTCAAGCAAGAGAGGATGGCCTTGTAAGTAAGGCACTGGACAGATTGGCATTCAAGAGATTTGGGCTCAATATTGGTCTCTCTGTGTGACCAACGGCAAGTCACTTAGCTCCTGATTTGGCAAGGTACTTAAGCACATTGATTTTGTTTCAGTTCACCATTTCTAAAATGGAGTAATAATACTTCTGTGGTCCGACACTATATTTTTCATGTCTATTTAGATTGTCATGTCTACTTAGTCTTTAGGGCAGGGATTGACTTTCACTGGATGCATCTTCATTAGGAAAAAGGTGTCATCTTAGCTTGAGTTAACTAGCATGAATCAAAATACTAGTGAAGATAAGAACATTTGTAATTTTTACTTGAATTTGCAGGTAACCCTACACTTCCCCATAGTCTTTAAGATCACCTGTTAACACCTGTGTAAACTACAAACTGCCTTTTATTTCACAAGGATTTTAACTCATGTCAGCTAATGCAAGATAAAAACATCTTTTTTCTCTAGTGAACACGCTGCCCCTATGTGTGTGTGTCTAGCACAACTGAGCCCTTATCTCAGTTGGGGCCTCTAGAGGATGCTACTGTAATTCAAATAAATAATGATAATAATGCCTTGACCAGGTCAGCATAATGTCTTTCCCTACCTAACAAATAGATGCCAGTGAGTTCTAAAAGCATGATGTTAGAGGAAAACAATTGTTTTGATCCAGCAAAGCTAGCAATCGGATCATTACACCAAAACTCAGACAAAGCCTCAACATTTTTTAGTTCACATCACAGTATATCAGAATAATGTGATTGTGCAGTAGAGTAAATCGCTTCAAAGCACTTTACAACACACTGAATTAAATTACATTTGAGCTGTGATTATTTCTATCTGCAAACCATTTTATATAATGTCTCAAAAAATTAGAATTGACCAGAAAGGAAATTGCCATTTTCCTTAAAGACAAGCTGCAAAAAGTGACATAAAGAGACGTACATGTAAAGTATATGCAGCTATTTTTCTATTCTTTATTAATTATTATTATTATTATTTGTTTAGCATCAAGAGCCTTTGGTGCTATACAATGCACAATAATAAATATAGTTCCTGTCCCCGAAGATATCGCAGTCTAAAAGGCAGACCCAGAGAATGGGACACACTGGGAAATCCAGAGGAGGGGGTGGCTTTATTTGGTTTGGGGTGGTGGTTGTGTTTAATTATAAATGAAAAACATGCTCCTTGTGAGACTCACAAAAAAGTGCGTCTTTAAGAGGAACTTGAGAGAAGACAGGATTACACTTGGAAAGCTGGTATGCGCAGCATTACCTACTACTCCTAAGGTGATATAGAAAAATGCACAGAGCCATGAAGGGAGAAAGGAAATTGTGTATTGAGACTGGAATCACTGTCAGAGTGAAATGGTTAAGAGGGGACACAAGGCAAAGTTTAAGATTTAGGTGGGGATGGAGTTATGAAAAGTTTTGATGGGAAGCTTGAGAGGTTTTAGAAATGCTGATGTTTGGTACCATTCTAACCTATGTGAAATGTGCCCAGATTCCATAGTGATGGATGCCTTACAGATAACTGCAATAACTAATAAAATAATAATGATCCATGAAACATTGGAAGAGTGGAAGTGGAAAGCCTCAAAATAAAGAAAGTCATTCAGTTTATCATTTACTTTAAACTAATCTGTTTTTGTCTTTCTGGTCCCCCTGAGGTAGAGATTCACCAGCTCCTGCTCTATATGATGCTCCACCATATATTCTATTGGTGACTTCCATGGCAGGTATGATATCACCATCACAGAGAAAGTCAAAGCATCATATTGAATAGGAGTCAGTGAGATTATTTCAACAACCTAAAAGACAAAAGAAATAATATAATCTGATCAATGCAGATGGACCCTTGCAAACATGTGAAACCCCATTGTCTTTAATGGTACTCTATGCAAGTGTAAGAGTTTAGTCTACTATACGAATCAGACTGCAGGATTTTATTAGAGAGGGAAGAATTACAGCCACAGTGAATTTTCTTCCTGAACAAAGTCCCAGAAAAATGTGATTCACAATAAAAGTATTTGCTCAATTCACTTATCTTAAGGAAATACAGTAATATTCATTATGACTTTATAAAGAAACTTAATGTAGATTGTAAATTCTTTTCACAAGACAGACCAAACTCAAATCAAACACTAAGGTCGGTGGTACGTATTGGTAACAGCCAAAGAGTGGGAACCAGGATAGTCCTATGGCTGACCCATGCTCTCACTGCATTTCCCCAAGCAAGTCACTTTCTCCTTAAGATTAAGCAAAATTAGTTAAGCAAACTAGGTAAAAAGCATTCACTGGAAGCCTTGGGCTGTATCTGAGTTCAGGCACATAATTTACAAAATGACTAAATTACTAAAAAATCCCACCAAAGCAACATTTTAGCTTACCTTGTAAATCAACCTTATCTGGAGAATTTAATAAGACCAACATACTAGTAAAAATCCCTTTAAAAACAGGCTGTTGAAAAAATATTCTCTTGATGAGCACTAGAGAGTAGGCAGAGTCAAGTTCTTATAAAGGCTATCCAGGAAAAACAATGTGACAGGTTATATATCCCTCCCCCTTTGTGAAGCATACCAATAACTACCTTATTAGAAGCGTTTTTAACTTTTCCCCCATAAGCTTTCTAGTTTGCTCCTGAATAGCTGTTTGTGTGAACACAAGAACCTAAAGTGTGGACGTAGAGAAGATACTTACACTTTGGAGTAATAAAACAAAGTATATGAAATAGCTTTACTCAGCTAAGAGCAGAACGTAGATAGATACAAGCTGCAAACTAGTTCACATTATAACTCTGCAGCGTTTGATGAAGCAGAAAGGAACTGACTAAATCACAGCATGACTCGGAGCTGACGTCAATGAGTATCTTGTTTGGAGTTTAACTTTTCCAGTTCCCCACTGCAACACGATTCCAGGAAATCTAATGACGTCAGCCTTTTGAACTCAATTAGCTGAGGAACAGACCATTTTAAACAGAGGAGGAAAAAACAAGCAGGCATTACAACACTCACAACACTACAGCTCTTTCAGATGCATTTGTGCTCCCTATTTTCTTTAGCAATGAATAGTAAAGGCTTATTTATATAACTGGAACAGTGCACATCTTTCACTTACAGCTCCACTTCAGTTTTGACAGGCTAAAGTAAGCTGACGTGATAGTTTATTTATTGCTAAACCAAAAAGCAACAGACCAGCTGCACATATTATTTATAAAGAAAAGAGACTACTGCAATGCAACAACAAAGATACACTAAAGAGTGCTATTAAAATGGTAAATTTACACTAAAATGCTGTATTAGCTAATGAGGAATAAAAATAATTGGCACCAATTTGTGCAACTTTGCACTGTAAAATTAAAGAGGTACTTCAACAAGTTCTAAAAACAAGTTCCACAGACTGCTAACTATGTAATCTTTTCTGGATTTCCAAATAAAGTATAGAACCTGCTATTTTAAAGACCCTGACAAGAGATTCCTACCTGTTTCATCTCCTGTTACAGCCATGATCAGCTTTTGCATATGGGATTCTCTTGTTGCTCTATCACAGCCCAACATGAAATGTTCCAAACTAGCAAGCATGTGCAGGATTACAAGCAGGAACACTGACATCACAATGACCTCACTGGCCTACCTCTGTCATTAAAATGCTTTGTCCTGGAACAGCTCACTAAAACTGCAGCCCAAAAAAACTGTTTTTGATGATAAAGGATCCTTTCATATTTCTGTAGCCTAGCTTTGGTTTATTCTAATTTACATATATTCCTAATTTACAAACCACACTCATCACAGATCTACTTGTAAATCAGACTCAAAGACACACTGACAGCAAAGACTGATGGAAATTATTTCATAATCTTAGTATTGCCAATTCCAAAAATCATGAGTCAGATCCCTAAAAATAGTTAAATTAGACCAAAATTCAAGAGATTTTTTTAAAGAAGTGTAAATCATAATTTTTGGTCTGCCTTCTAATTTTTCAACTCTTTCTGCCCACATGCAACGTGTGTGACAATTATAGAATTGCCAACTTTTACAAATTTATAGTGAGTAAGGAGATTTTTTGTTCCCCTGGCTGGAGCTTTTCCTAGAAGACTCAATTGAGACCAGGGCCCCATTGTGCTAGGCATTGTACAAAAAGATGGTAAGATACAGTCTCTGCCCCAAAGAGCCTACAATGAAGTACAAAACATAGTGATGAGTTTGTGACACAGGAACTCAAACTGGGACTCACCAATCTTATATCATACGGGACTACCAAACATTCATTAGATGGGAACAATCCTTGCTGAACGGGGAAGGACTCAAAATCATGACCTACAGGTGAAAGGCTCTGTAGCTCCTTAGCAATGCCCTGAGCCTCCTGTACTCCATTAGTACAAATGTTATACCTTTGAGAATGAGACCTCTTTCTGGACCTTGTCCTTGTAGAACACAGTGTAGGGCGGCTCTGAGGTAAGTGCCCTAATCTCAGAGACCCTACAGGCAGATGTTATTGCTAAGACCTTCCACAAGGGGAGAAGGAGGGAACAGGATGCCACAGGTTTGAAGGGGGAGCCAGTGAGCCTAGACAGAATGAGATTTAAGTCCCATGGAGGGACTGGGTCCTGGACGTGAGGGTAGAGTTGGTTCAGAACTTTTAGAAATTGTACTGTCATGTCATGAGCGAAGACCGACCTGCCCTGGAATGAGGGATGGAAGGGGGAAATAATGGCCAACTAGACCTTGGTAGATGAAAGAGACAGACTTTGGAGCTTGAGATGCAGGAGGTAGTCCAGGATTGACTGCAGCGAGGCCTGTTCGGGCCGAATATCTTGGTCCAATACCCAGCACGTGAACCGCTTACATTTGGCCAAGTAGGTCACCCTGGTGGAGAGTTTTCTGCTGCCCAAGAGGACTTGTTGGACATGGGCCGAGCATTCCTGCTCCTCCATATTTAACCATGCAGCAGCCAACCCATCAGGTGCAGTGCTGCCAGGTTGGGGTGCAGAAGACTGCCGTGGCTCTGTGACATCAGGTCCGGCTGAAGCAACAACTGTAGCAGGGCATCCACCAAGAGGTCCAGCAGTGAGCTGAACCAGTGCGGGCGTGGCCAAGCCAGAACTCTGAGGATCACCTTTGCCCTGTCCTATATGATTTTCATGAGGACTCTGTGGATTAATGGCACTGGAGGGAAGGCATACATGAGTGCCCACGACCATGGGAGCAGAAAGGCGTCTGACAGAGAGCCTGTGTCGATCCCCCGAATCAAGCAGAAAACATGGCACTTTCTGCTCTGCCTGGATGCAAACAAGTCCACCCGAGGAATCCCCCGTGTTTGGAAGATGATGCTGACCATCTCCAGGTGGAGTGACCATTCATGGTGAGATGAGCAGGTCCTGCTGAGGGGAACTGCCAATGTGTTCCTGGCCCCAGGGAGATGCACGGCTGCGAGATGAATGGCACGATGAAAACAGAAGTTCCACAGCTCACTCGCTTCCTGGCAAAGGGCTGACAAGTGGGCTCCGCCTTGTTTGTTGATATATTGTTGACATTGCAGCAGTGTTGTCTGTCAGGATCTAAACCACCCTGACCCTCAGATGAGGCAGGAAAGCTTGGCAGGCCAAGTGAACCGCTCTGAGCTCTCTGATGTTAATGTGGAAGGGGCGATTGTGACTCGACTAACGTCCTTTTGTCCTGGGATCATCCAGGTGGGCTCCCCATCCCAGATCCAAGGCATTGGAGACCAGGGTTACTGATGGGGATCGGGCCGCAAAGGGGACTCCCTCCAGCACTGATACGGGATTTGACCACCATGCGAGCGACGACAGTATGTGGTCCGGTACCCTGACTATGCAGTCTATGTTGTGTCTGTTGGGGAGGTAGACCGACACCAGCAACACCTGTAGGGCCCTGAGATGGAGCCGCGTGTGCCAGACCATTTAAGTACAGGCTGCCAGGTGGCCCAACAATCTCAGGCACATGTGAGCGGTGGTGAGAGGTTTGGCCCACACGTACAAGATCAGGTCTGTCATGGCTCAGAAGCAGGTCTCGGAGAGAAAGGTTCTGGCCCGAGTGGAGTCGAGGACCACCCCACTGAACTCTATCCGTTGCACTGGTATCAGAGTTGATTTTTCTTTATTTATCAAAACACCCAGATCACGACAGGTGGAACATACCAGATCGAGGTTCCTCTGCACCTGATCCCGAGATCAACCCTTGATGGGTTGCAGGGTCTTAGGCACATCCAGTACCAGGTGCGGTGTATTCGGTACCAGTAGGACCATCAGGTCTTTAGCCACCTGGGCAATCTCGGGTGTTGCAGGCCCCAGTAGGAGCCGGAGTCCCCTACCGCTCCCAGGAGTCGGAGGAAGATCCCTGGTTGGGCTAGAGGGTCTGACCACAGCGGCACCCCGTTGCAGCTCCATAGTGAGACCCCTTCCCCTCCTTGGATGGCGCTGGGGAGTTTCTTTTCTTTTGCCGCTTTTTGAGCACTAGCGAGAGGGAATGGTGCCGGGAGGAACCTGGTGCCGGCGGAGTGCTCTGCACTGACGCTGAGGTGCTGCGCACACAGTCCAATCGGGAAAGCTCCAACACCAGGCGAAGTGCAGCCTCCATGGGGAGGGCTTTCAGGCAGATGACCCGCTCTTTCTGGGTTCTGGGACAAAAGTTCTTACAAATCCTGCACTTCTCCTTTATATGGGACTCTCCCAAGCACTTCAAACAGCTGCTGTGGGGGTCACTAACAGGCATAGGCCTGTTGCGTGATGAACATGGTTTGAAGCCCAGGGAATGGGGCATGCCCCGCTCTGGCGCGAAGTCCCTGCTGGGACTCTAACTAGTAAACTAACACCTAACACTTAACACTTAATAGCTAACTAACTATCTGAGAACTATATACAAAGAAGACAGTCAATGGGCTGTTAGAAAAACCGCTAACACTCTTGCGAGGCAAGACAAGGCACTCCGACCAACCGTCACGGGCAGTAAGAAGGAACTGAGAGGGTGTGTAGGACCGGTGGTGCCTAATATACCGATGCATGAGCGCAGCACTCCAGAGGGCGCCACAGCTGGCCCTACGGATATCGCTAAGGCAAAAATCTCCAACAACTGTGCATGTGGGCACACATACACACCTAGAATGGAATCAACATGAGCAAGCACTCAAAGAAGAATTCTTAATTTCATTTTATTTACTCCAATTACACAGCAACTTCCAATCAAACTCAAACTGCAGCACTCCACTCTTGACCTACTATGAAACATTATCTCACAAGGCCTGGACAAAAGTGTACATATGAGCCAGCAATGTCATCATGCTCTTCCCTCATTACTATATTTCCTCTAAAGTACATAAACATTTATTTTCAAATGAGAGTAGCTGCCCTTAGTGAGCAAACCAACCCACTCTTCTCCTAACACTAACTTTCTCAGTTCCTTTTATTAGTAATTCTTCCACTGATTTAACATCACCGTAATGTGCGCACCAACAAAAAGCACTTTGTGAAAAAATCATTTGTATAAATCTAAAATTTAGTAGATCTCAAAATATACCTTGCACAACAACTTGGCTTCCAGGTACAAAAAACTGCTGTGTGCCATCAGGTGTTTGTGTTGCATATTGCACAATGGTAGCACCTGGCTGAGGAGCGCCTGAATTTGTCATTGTTAATGTCTGCAGTCCCTGGACGCCATCAGATGCTGGATTAGAAATCTGGATTGCTCCACCTTGGGCTATGGCAACTAAACAAAAAGAAAAAAACAGATTACGCAATAGAAACAAATATATACAACATATTATACTATATTTACCACTTTTGGAAGAAAGTTTTTTTTTCATCAGATAGGGACTTCCAATCATCTCTGTGCTTAAAGAAATTTGCAAAACTAATACTATGGCATGGCATGCTGAATTAATATACACCTCTACCCCGATATAATGCTGTCCTCGGGAGCCAAAAAATCTTACCGCGTTATAGGTGAAACCGCGTTATATCGAACTTGCTTTGATCCACCAGAGTGTGCAGCTCCCCTCTCCCCCCTCCCTCCGGAGCACTGCTTTACCGCGTTATATCCGAATTCGTGTTATATCGGGTCGCGTTATATCAGGGTAGAGGTGTATTTTTAAAAAACTGTACCAGCCTCTTATGTGTCATTCTCCTATTTTGTATTATTCACTTTTTGGGTCAATCACATGGAGAATGCACTACTTCACCCATTTTTTTTCAGTTTGTAATCCCAGCAACTCTAATGTTTCCATAATAATTTCCATATAAGACTGATAAAGACAAAGCATCAAGCCCTTGGGGAAATGGAGTAAGAAGTTGAGGGTAATTATAACAGATGCAACAGGAAAAATAAAAAGACATTCAAATTTATCCTGACCCTTCCATAAGATGCAAAATACTGGGGATCAGGAGGAAGGGAAAAGGGTACCTTTCCCTGGAACTCAAAATCTTCCTCCTTTTCTCAAGTTAGGATGTCTAGGTTTAGGCTCATTGCACTTTAAGGTTCTCTATATGAGAAAAGACTGGAAATTTTTGTTTTGAGATACCAAAATATGAAAATAAGAATCTATTATCATTCAGTCAAAAATATGAAAGAAAATGTATGTATACATTTTGCCCATATCAGCTTGATTAAACTCTTCCATGTGACTCACAGAATACTCAGCATAATAAGTGTTTTGTAAAAATCAAATTCATTGAAGGGTTACATGCTAATTTCAGCAGAAGTTCACAAATACTCATTTAAAAACAGGAACATATCCACTAACTTTTATAATACCCACTTAGAAACACCATTTAAGGAGTACCCATTCCCCAGGAAGAAGTAAATGCTCTTTCTATGCAGGTATTTAAACTGCACACATCACCAAAGTATTTAAATGTTGCTGTGTGATAGTACATAAAAATCTATTATAAGCATAGCAGTGTTGCCAGCTCATGATTTTACTGTGAGGCTCATGTTACTTGGTGTGTTTCTTAAAGTCTCAGCTTCTGG